CAATTAAGTCTAACTTAATTAATTATTCTTATTTAATCCCAATCATGTCACTTATTGTGTGTGACCCATTAGGCTTCTAACATATTGACAATAAATATAAATCATAATCAAATATCAATTTGATAATTAATTTATATTTATAGATCATGAACGGTATCTAACAATACATCATGACCACCCAAATATTAGAGAATCAATTAAAGAATTTGACAAAGCCCTTCAGTGATAAGCCTTTCAATGCAATACGGTCTTTTCATCAAATATCTCGGATATATCATTAAGCATGGCTTGGTGCCTACTTATGACATTTCATATTAGTTCTCATAATTCATGACTAACTTTATAAATTTAGGAAACTAATTTTTCGTAAATTCATCATACTTTAGTCAAAGACTTTATATAAGTTAATCAAGAATTGAGAACAAGTAAGATAAATCCCCTCATATCACTTGGGGTGATGAATGCTCTCTTGACCAGTCATTCACCTTCGCATGCTTTATGGCATACCTAAAAATATCCTATTTAGGCATTTGGTTGCTTCCAAACCCGTAGAAATGAAATCAAAGTATGTTATTCCCTATATAAGATGACCTAGTATCTTAAGTCTAAGGACTAGTTGCACGACTATCACATGAGACGATATTCCATAGACACTTGAGTGAAATACCAAATAAAGTTTTTATAGCGGGTCATGTTCAATGAACTTATTTTTTACCAAGCACCTACATGTTATCCTCAAGTATCCCATATACTTTAATTTATGAGATCGATTGCTTAGTTCCCAAGTAAGGAAGCTTAACATGTACCAGTCTTTGAGCATTGTTAATGCCCTGTCTTGACAATACAATGACCATGAATAATTTTAGGAACATGGCTTTGATGTATAGTGATCTTATAATTATCACAACTTTATAATTCTCTTTCAAGGCTTTTATGTTCTGTGAGTTTCATCTAATTAGTACTTAATAACTCCTTATTATTACATTAACATGAAAAAAAACCTCTATCACATAAAATTATGTGATTAAATATGCATTAAATAACAATATATATTCGTTGACTAATCTAATTGGCTCAAGGGCATATACCAACATATTCGACCCAAGATGGTTCCAAGTGAAATCTAAGTTTGGGTGTTTGGTATTTAGAACCCTTTGGGTTTCCACAACATTTTTTAATCTAATTTATAATGATTTTCATTTTGGTTATTATAATTATTTTATATTTTTTAATAAGTATTTTTTGGTATACTTTTTAACACCATTTCACTGTTATTATATCTGACTCCTCACATTTATGATTACAATCATTTAGCTATCTATTAAATGAAAAACACGTGTTTGTCTATTTTGGATATTGTGGTATTTTTCTTTTATACTTTTTAACAATATATCACTATTATTTATATCTCACAATCACTCCTCACACCTGATTGGGATATTTTCAATTTTAATAAAATGGTATTTTTATTTTTCTTGTTTCTTCTCACTCAATTCCCAAACCTCTCTTTAAAAACAACTACCACTTTCTCTAATCAAAATTTCATGTTTTTGTACCCACCTTTCCCTTCCTTCACTTTCTTTACTTTCTCTCTTCTTTCTTTTATTTCTTTCCTCTGCTCTAAAAACACAAAACAAATAGTAAAAGGAGAGTGAAAAAAAATATATTTCTCTAAACAAGCTTTAAAAAAATAAAAACAAATTCTTTCTATTATTTTCAATGTCATGAAATTCATGTAAATTGAGTTAATAGAGTTGAATTTTTACTTTGAAAACTGATTATTTTTTGTTAATTATTATAAACAAATATTGCAGACAGATTATCTTTGTTAATTAACTTCTCAAGTGATTATAATAGTTTTAAAGTAATTTAATTTATAATTAATTTTGTTTTAAACTTATACAAAATTTTTAAAATCAAATATTTATAAAATTTTACAAACCTGTTGTGTAGTGTGAGTACAAAGTTCAAGTGCATATATATATATAAGTGATATTTACAGAAACTAGGTTTGTAACTATTAGTGAATTAATTGAAGTTATATTCGTTCTTAAATTATTATTTAGCTTGGGCTACCTCATTAAAATTTAAATGTAGCATTCAAGAAGTTTTAAATGCTAGGTACTTTGTTGTATCTTTTATCTCTTAATATATTTTTTTCAAAAAAAGTCTTCATCCATTTGTCTTAATATATAAATTCACATTCACCTTTGACATAAGTTTTCTTCTATACCAAAATAAACCTTTGAAAAAATTTTAGACCAAATCGTTTTTTCCAAATCCGTTTTATGCACGTAAAATACTCTTAATATGACAGATTCATTACAACCTTCTCAAAAGAATCTAACGATAGATGATATAATAGAAGAAAGTCTTGAGTGTTTTGGTTGGGCTCAAGCATTCCAATCTATCCTTGTTGCTTTTGCATCATTGTTTGATGCACAAAATTCCTTCATCAGTGTCTTCACCGATGCCCAACCAACTTTTCATTGCATCGACAATACACTATGCATTTCAAGCTCTAATATATGTGAAATTCCCAAGTTTGCATGGGCATGGAGTGATCATGCTTCAAAGACAATCATTTCAGACTGGGAGCTTCAGTGTTCCAGTTCATTCATCCAAGGTCTACCAGTCTCTTCTCACTACACGGGATGCATACTAGGTGGGATCTTGTTGGCAATGTATGCTGACTTCTTCGTTGGTAGGGAGAAGTTGTTGTTTCTTTCTTGTCTAACAATGTCTGTAACTGGAATTCTTACAGCATTCTCCAGTAATATCTGGATGTACGTCATAATGAGATTTTTCTCGGGACTTGCTCGTGGCACACTAGTCATATGCACCGTCGTCTTGTTAACCGAAAGGATGGGAAGGAATTGGCGAGGAAGAGTTGGAATTCTCGACTACTTGTTCTTCTCATATTCAACACTCTCCTTACCAGTTTTGCCTTTTCAACTAGAAGATGTTCTTGGAGAGTGCTTTATCTTTGTCCTGGAATTCCCGTATTTGTTTATTGTGTCATAGCTTATCCTCTTGTCGTTGAATCACCAAGGTGGCTATACAGAAGAAGCAATCACAG